CCACGCCAGTGTAGTAGCCACGGTCGTCCGCAGGCCACGAAGTGAAGTGTCCGAACGTCATAGGGCGGGAAGCTGGGTGTGGGTGGTGGCGAAGAGTCGTGTGGATATTTGGTAGAGCTTGCACTGCCCCCCCACAAAGTGGGGGTATTGGCTGGCGTCGCATGAAAACCCTGGCACTGGTGAGAACACTGAGCGTTCGGGTAAAGTGATTGTTGTTGTTGTTGTTGTTGTTGTTGTTGTTGTTGTTGTTGTTGTTGTTGTTGTTGTTGTTGTTGTTGTTGTTGTTGTTGTTGCTGCTGCTGCTGCTGCCGCTGCTGCTGTTGTTGTTGATGTCGATGTTGTTTATCTATGTAAAGATACTGCAATACGGGGTGCTCAGAAGTTTTCGTCCCAACCCTTGGTCCTTGGTCTTTTCTTGACGGTCCCTGGGCCCAGCGAGGGCCCCCGAAGGCCGAAAACAACGACATACCCTCCGTTCGGTTTTTTCCTCGATGCGTTGGAGGTCTGGCCCCCCCTCCCTCCCTGCACTCGCCGCTTTTTGCAACTCCTGTTGCCCCCTCGGTTCCAGCCATGGGCGTTCCGAGCAGTCTGGTAGGTGTCTCTGCTCCCTCCTTTTCGCCCCCCCTCTCCCTCGTCTTCTTCCCGTTCCTCTTCCCCCCCCCCGACATGCCATGTCGTGCTCTTTTCGATGCGCGGTGCCTGGACGCTTCGGCTCTCTCCCGCCAGGGCCCGGCTTCTCATCCCGAGGCGTCTGCTGACGGTCCCGTGGCCCTGCGACGGCCCCGGGGAGGGCCGACATGGGGCAGACGACGCCGCCCATCGTGAGACGTGTTGTTTGAGCGACAAGCGACGGCGAGAGCATGTCTGGACCCCTCCCCTCCCCCTCGGCCCCCCCCCTCCCGTCTTGCTTTATTTTTCGAGCGACGGTGGGAGCATGTCTGGGCCCTTCCCCTCCCCCTCGGCTCCTCCCCCCCCCCGCCCCCAGACGAGCAACGACGAAGACGCCCGAAAGCCACGACCTCCGACCTCAGGAAGGAAAGTCCACACGGACACAGGATATGGGAGGTGGAGGGGGAGGGGGAGGAGGAAGTGGAGGTGAACGGGGAGGGGGAGGAGGAGGAGGAGGAGGAGGAGGAGGAGGAGGAGGAGGAGGAGGAGGAGGAGGAGGAGGAGGAGGAGGAGGCGGAGGAGGGGGAGAAGGAGGAGGAGGAGGAGGAGGAGGAGGAGGAGGAGGAGGAGGAGGAGGAGGGGGATACAGACACAAGCCAAAAGAAACCACTGAGTATATGGGAGGTGGAGGGGAAAAAGACCATACAGAACACGTGCACCCATGTGGGGACCCCTGGGACTTGTGTTTGTTTCCTTGTGCCTCCCTGGCCCCTTCGTCCTCCTCTCCTCCGTCCTCCCCCCCCCTCCTCCCTAGACGCCGCCCGACGCCGCCACGCCCCGCGCCGCTCCGCCCACCGCCGAGCCGCCGCCTGGCGCGCCGACGGCCGCCGCGGACTGGGCGTTGCGCCATGGGGGGGCGATCGGTGGGGGGCTGCAGATCGGCGGCGAGCGAGGGGGGCCATCTTGGGCGTCTCGGAGGCGATCGTGAGGCGTCTTGGGGCCTGTTTGTGCCTGAGGGCACGGGGCGGAGCCCCCACTGGGGCGCTGGGGACGCGGGGAGGGAGGTGGGGGAGGTGGTGTGCGTCGCGACGCGGAATAAAACGTTCGTGGCGGAGGGGGCAGTGAGCTCTTGAGGCCCTCTTGGCGCGTCTTTGGCCCCTCCTGGGCCCGAAGAAGTCTCGTGAGGCAGCGGCAGCTCAGAGTCGGTCCCCAGACCGCTCCTGGGGTCCAAACGCACAGGTCCCCCAAGCTGCGTTCACGAAGGCAAGCCACCCAAGCCACCCCCTCCACCACATCGCAATTTTTGTGTATTTAGATGGCGGCGAGCGATTGGGAGACGTGCGAAGGAGAAGGCCTTCTCAGAAGGCGGCGGGACTTCTCAGAATCCCTCGCGCCTTTGTAGAAATTTTCAGTGTCTTCGCGGAAGGCTTGGAAAACTTCTCAGAAGGCCCTGGGACTTCCGAGCCTTCTGAGAAGGCCCGCCCCTTGTCACTTCCCCCCGGGCTCGCCGCCGAGCAGAGAGATGCACCTCTTGTGCCTGTTAAACGGGGCCTCGAGGGGCCCCCCCAGGACCCCAAAGAGCACGCGACAGGTGCACGTTTCTCCCCCCCCATTCCCAGACATCCGGCGTCTCGATTTTTTCGAGACGCGGGCCCTCGACCTCTCGACCGCTTCTCTGGGAGCGGTTTCTCATCCCGAGTGGGTTTTTGGTCCTGGGGCCTGGTAATGACCCTGGGAGGCCGCAATTAGCGAAACACTTCCCGTCGTGTTTTTTTCACGACTCGAGGGGGTCTGGGTCTCGACCGCTTCCCCGGGACCAGTTTCTCATCACGCTTGGATCTTTGACGGTCCCGAGGCCTGGGAGGGGCCCCGAGTGGCCGTCTCGAGCTCATCCCCCCCCCCATGAAGCAACGCCCGAGCGGACCTGGACTTCCGGTCGCCGGGCGTCCTGCCGGCGGCGTCGGCGGCGCCGAGCTCGCCGCCGCGCCGGCGCTCGCCGTCCCTGGCCTCGGCGGCCAGCGCCGCGGAGTTCCGGCGGGCCCTCGCCGCAGGCGGGCCCCCCCTTCGGGGGCTCGGGCTCCCCCTCCTCCTCCTCCTCCTCCTCCTCCTCCTCCTCCTCCTCCTCTCCTCCCTCCTCCTCCTCCTCCTCCTCCTCCTCCTCCTCCTCCTCCTCCTCCTCCCTCCTCCTCTCCTCCCCTCCTCCTCCTCCTCCTCCTCCTCCTCCTCCTCTTTCTCCTCCTCCTCCTCCTCCTCCTCCATCCCTTTTCCTCCTCCTCCATCCCTGTTCCTCATGGGTAATTTCTCCCTGTCGCACCCCGAGGCCAGTCGGAAGGGCGGGCTGAGCGTTTCGCCTGAGAGGACCTCACCACTAATTAGCCTGAAGCTGAAAAGCTGGCAATAGTAGTTTCACATATGAAGGGCGGGTCGCTTCCAGAATGCGGCTCGTGCCTCAGCGCCGCGCACATTTTCGTTGAACAAATTAGAAGGATTTCGCGGATTGAGGGCGGGTCTTTTTCAAAATGTGGCTCTCGCCTCAGCGCCGCGCACAATTTTGACTTCAATTCCTCTGACCCTGGACACGGACGCCGCCTCCAAGAGGTAATCCGTGACGTGCACACCCTGCCGTTGCAGCGTATGGCTGTTTATCGCCGCTGTATTACCATTTTTACCGTTGAACAGTTGCTTGCGGCTATTCAAAACTCTGGAAGATCGTACGGCATGGAACTACACCCAGACAAGTTCCAGTTACTGCAAGTCAGATGTCAGAACAATATTCAAGACACGCAGGGTAACATCATACCGGCGCGACAGAACATGATATATTTGGGAGCCTTGATTTCTGGAGCAGGGGATTCGAGCAAAGAGCTTTCTCGGCGTCTTGGCGCAGCCCGGGCTGACTTCGACAAGCTTTCCAAAGTGTGGCGACATTCCAGTCTTAGCCGGCATCGAAAAATCGAGGTGTACAAAGCTGTAGTTTTGAGCGCGTTGACGTATGGATTATCATTTTTGTGGTTAAACGCAGCTGGCCGGAGGCGTTTGGACGGTTTTCATTGCCGGTGCGTCCGCGCGATCTGGGGTATCGCGCCAGCTTACATCTCAAGAGTGAGCAACGCAGTTGTCTTAGACAAGACGGGGCAATCCCCTGTATCAGAGACGGTAGCTCGACAACAGCTTCTCCTGCTAGGAAAAACCGCCAGGTCGCCAGAAGGGAACCCCCTAAGAGAGGCCACCTTCTGCCCCGGGTCTTTTCGGCCTGCTTCAGATAGGTACGTGAAGAAAGTTGGCAGGCCGCGCGCGGACTGGACGACCCAAGTGCTACGTGTTGCCCGCGTAGAAGCAGGCGGCATTGCCAATCTGACCCCACTCCTGAGTAGCGAAGCTTCCTGGCGGCAATTTGTCCGCACAACGAAGATCTGTATTGTATAATCAATGTAGTTAGTTTCAGATTTTCCCATCCAGCGTCCTACGCACCTCCGGGTGTATGACTTCTTGCTTGCTTGCTTGGGTGTCCACGCCAGGCAAGCATGGAGGCTCAGCCCAACCATCCGCCTCCCCCCGCTGTGGATGGGCCCGTCGAAACCCGAAGGGGCCAGCTTGCATCCCCATCTGGGAGGGGTAGATCGGCCAGTGGGTCCAAGGCCATGCCCGGTGGGGGGGATCGCTTAGGCGATGCTCGCAGGCTCGGGGCGCGGGCGCGGGCCTGGGCGCGGGCGCGGGCTCTGGCTCGGGCCCGTGCTCGGTCTTGAGCTCGGGCTCGGGCCTTCGGGGTGGGGTTCGGGCCTCCGCGCGCGAGCGCGCCGTGCGCGTGCCGCGAGCAGGGCGAGGCGGTCCCCCCCGCCTCTCCTCGTCATCGCGAACAGTTCGCGGCGGGTCCGTTCTCGCCTGGCTCGGTCTGTGGAGGCCCCCGCCGGGGCTCCGGGGCCGTCAAGGAGAAGCTCGGGGCGGAGAGGAGGAGAATGCTCGGGACGAAGAGCCGGCCCTGGGGAGAGTCTTCCACGCGCAGAGGGGGTGTATGGGGGAGGGGCCGCCTTCTCCCGCTCTTTCTCTGCCAATTAAGGCTGTGCGCGTCCCGCGTAGCTTTCAGCGGAAGAGGTTCGCTCTCGCCCTGCAGATCAAAACAAGTATGGGGGAGGGGGGATGGCTTCTTAGAAGCGCCCCTGCTTCCAAGAAGCCTGCCCCCCTCCCTCTGACCCGTGTGCGCGCCGCCAGAAGAGAGGGTCGGGACTTCTGGGGGCCCCGGTATGGCAAGCAATCAAAGCGTCGGATCTCTGGGGTGGGCCTGGGGGCCTCGGTGCGGGCGCGCGTGCGCGTGCCGCGAGCGGGGCGAGGAGGTCCCCCCACTTCTTCTCGCCGTGAGAAATCGAGACGCAAGGCTTTTAGTCGTTTTTTTGCCCGTGGGGACCCTCGCTGGGCGGCAGGAACGTTAAACAACGGGCCCGATATGAAAGACCAGTTCCCGGGAAGGGGTCCAGACCTTTGGGGGCCGACATTGTGCAGGGATCACGACGTCGGAGTTTTGGGTCTCTATAGACGCTGCTCCCTGGTCGGGCTCATTCTTGGGCCCAGGAGCGGTATATCCTGCCTCCCTGGCCAAGCCGTCGGTGCGTATACACTGCTCCTGGGTTCAGGATGGGCCTGGCCAGGTGCAGTGGGTATATGTATAGACATCCTCGCCCTACAAGTCGCGTCGGGAAGGGCGAGCCAGCACGCGACTCCAGACCTCCAGCGACTCTGAACTCGCGCCCAGGGATTCCTCCCTGCTTTCGGCCCTCGGGGGCCGTCTCAGGGCCCCAGGATCGTCGAAGAACGGCTCTGGGCATGGTCAGTTTCGGTCCGACTGATCCGATTCGATATCGATGTCGGCCGGCTCGATCCGAGGCGGCACGATGCTTGCCTGGCCCTGTCCGGGCGCCGCCGCTCCGAGTCGTCCTCGATTCCGTGCCGACGCAGCCCGATCCGGTGCTGCTGGATCCCGCCCAGGGTGAGGAGCAGGTCCTGGGGAGCGGGTCGAGAGCTCCAGGTGGCCACGGCCCGAGGAGGCGAGTCGTCAGAGATCTGGGGCAGTGCCGTGGAGAGCACGCGCGTCTGCAGTCACCGCGGCGCCCTGCTGCGGGTGGAGGTGAGAGGGAGGAAGGGTAGCCACGGCGCGAACAGTCGAGTCGCCAGAGATCTGGGGCAGTGCCGTGAAGCACGCACTCTGTGGCGATCGCGGCCCCGCGCGCAGCGACGAGGCGGAGTGAGTCGAGCACGGCGGACGGGACCCCGCGCGCGTCGGCCTTGGAAGAAGGCCGCAGCATACGCCATCCAGGCGTGTGCCGTGGAGCACACGCGCCTGTGCGTAGTCACCGCGGCGCCCTGCTGCAGGTGGGGGTGGGAGGATGGCAGGGCAGCAGAGAGCGCGGGAGCAGAAGCATGGGCGGTGCAGCTGATGGGCCTGTTCTTCCATGTGAGAGCATGCGAGCCTCGGGCGGACGAAACCAGCTGAGCTACGTGAGCCACCAGCTGAGCTGCGAGAGCCACCAGCGGAGATACCATGACCACCTCCTGAGCTACGAAAGCCGCCAGTGGAGCCACCAGGGCCACAGGCTGATTGACGAGAATCTCCACCTGAGTTCTGAAGGCCACCAGCTGAACAACGAGGATCACAAGCTGGGCTACAAGGGCCACGCGCAATGCTACGAGGACCACTGGCTGAGCTAGAGGGGCCACAAGCTGAGCAGCGAGAGCCGCGAGCAGAGCTATGATTCCCTCCAGCTGAACCACAAGAGCCGCGACCAGAGCCTCGAGAGCTTCCAGCACAACTGCGAGGACCACCTGCTGAGCTTCGAGGGCAGCAGACTGGGCTACGATTGCCGCAAGCAGAGTTGCGAGAGCCACTGGCTGCGCGCGTGCTACCCCAGCGGAGCTACGAGGGCCACAGGCTGAGCTGCGAGATTCACCAGCGGAGCTACCACCGCGGCCACCTCGTAAGCTACGAGAGTCACCAGCGGAGCTGCTGGGGCCACGTGCCGACCGACGACTCCAGCTGAACAGCGAGGACCACAAGCTGGGCTACGAGGACCTCCTGCTGACCTCGATTGGGCCGTCCCAACTGGATCTACAGTCGGAACCACAGGCCTTGTCTCAATAATTACGGCTTGCGTGGGGAGCGCTGGGAAACGCTTCTCCAGCAGTTATTTGAGCAGCAGTGGCAAAACGTGAAGAGTAACATAAACACATGCCCACTCCAGAACATCAGCGAAATTATCTGGGACATGGCTGTTGAGAAGTTCGGCAACTACGAGGCGGAAGGGGGCCGCCGCAGTCGGGACCCCGAGGAGACCGAGCGACATATCACCATAGGTGATACGGTCGAGGCGAAGCTTGGCACAAAAACGCGCCGATTGCGTAGTAATGCAGATCGACGCCCTGCAGACTACGGTCCGATGGGAGGGCGGCCGAAAGTCCACGGTAGGCGGAGCTGCAATCCGGCGGGAACCACAGAGGTGAAACCATTTGTGCAATATGTTGTCGGCATAACATTAAGGGCGGGCACAGCGTTGACGACAACGGCGCTACAAACATTGCTCTAGTGATAATATACCGTGTCTACATCAAGCGCGCTGTAGGGACGATGGGCGGGCCACTCCCTCCTCCTTCCCACCCCCCAACTTTAAATAATTGAGCCTCGGGATGTAGGATGGGCAGGTGGTCTCCCCCCCTTTCCCTCCCCCTTTACGGAAGCGGGCCCCCCCGGCGGTCCAGAAGGGGCTCCCGCGCCTTCCGCCCGCGGCGCGCCCAGCGGCGCGAGGCAGGGCGGTGGCGCGGACACGGGGCGCCCGATGGAGATGCGAGAGAGAAAGAGAGAGAGAGAGAGAGAGAGAGAGAGAGAGAGAGAGAAAAAGAAGGATGGAGGAGAGAGTAGGAGGGGGAGGAGGATGAGAAAGGGAGGAGGAAGGAGGGGGGAACGAGGGAGGAAGGAGGGAGGAAGAGGAGGAAGGCAGAGGGTGGACGGGGGGGGAAGGGGGAAGGAGGGAGGAGGATCCCCTTCCGCGGCCGCCCCAGAGCGCGACGTGCTCGTCGCAGCCGCCGCGGCGGAGGGGCCCGCCGCGCTGCCGCCCCCGCGACGGGGGGCGGCGTCCCCGGCCAGAGGCGCGCCGCCGGCGACGGGGGGGAGGTGGCGGGGAGGGTCGGTGGTGATGGGGTCCCCCCTCGGAGGCCTTTTCGCCCGGCCCGGCCCCAGAAGAAAAGACACCGACGGAAACAGAAACCGTCGGGGTCCGCGCGGATTTCTTGGATCTGTGCCGAGGCTGAGCCGCCCTCCCTGGCGCGCGGAGCGCGCCAGGGGGGCCCCAGCGCACATCCAAGCAACCAGCGCGGAGCCACAACAGTTTATGTTTATGCAGTCCAGGTGTTCACAGATGGGGCCTTGAAGGATGGGGTCCTAAAGACATCCAAGGGTGAATTTTCGTTGTTTGAGGCACCTCGTCCTGAGGACCCCATCCCCCAGGACCCCATCTATGAACCACTCAGGGGGGGAGGGGGGGTAGTTCCTATAGAGGGGGATGTGGGACCGCGAGATTTCGGTCCTTTTATTATCCCTTCTGGCTGGGGCGAGCATCGATCTGGGAACACCCTGCGGCGGGGAAGGGGAGGGGGGGCGCACATGCGCTCCCTCCGACGCCTTGTCCTCGTCCTCCTCCGCCTCCTCTTCTTCTTCTTCCTCCTCCTCCTCCTCCTCCTCCTCCTCCTCCTCCTCCCCTTCGGGCGGTTGGCTGCCAGAGCAGCGGCCCGTGTAAAGCAACTTCGGCGCCGGGGCGGATTGCTTCTCGCTGTTCTGGGCTGACAGGACGTCGTCGTCGTCGCCGGCGTCGTCGTGGAGGCGTGCGCTCTTCCTGCTCCTCTTGCTCTTCCTCCTCCTCCTCCTCCTTTTCCTTCCTCCTCCTCACATTGCTCGGCTTCGTTGTGCGGCACGGCTCGCAGGCCTCTCCGTTGCTGCCGCTGCCCGCCTCCTTCGGGAAGCCGCCGCCGCTGCCGCATCGACGTCGGCCGTTCACGGGGACGCTCGCTCCTACCCTCGTGAGACGGGGTTATGACGAGGACAAATCCGTCAGAGCTCGTCCCCCAGATCTCCAACGCGTTGGACAAGTCAAGGTGGAGATTTTTCGTCGTTATCATCGTTTTCGGCGCGTGGGGACCGCTCAAGAACAGTTCAGGACGGAAGACCTGTCCCCAGGAAGTGTCCAGAGCTCCAGGGACCCCGCACTGAAAAAATCAGGGCGTCGGAGATCTTCGGACTGGGCCAGGTCGAGGATCTGTCCTTTCCACGCTCTCACGCTCCGGCCTGCTGCTTGTTCTCCGACGGCCGAGGCCGGGCGTCCTCGGCCGGAGGCGCGCGGGCGGCCATGGGGGGGGGGGGGAGGGGGTTAGGGGCGGGCGGTCGGGTGGGGGCTGCGCGCTCTCCTCGGCCAGCACGGCGGACGGGCCGAAAGCGTCGGGAGACGGACGGAGGCAGCTCAGCATCGCAGCGTTGTTCGAGTGGATCGCGCCACTTGGGGGGGGCCTGGGCCCAGGTTTGTCCCAGGCAGGGCCGAGGAGAGAGGAGGGGTGACGGCAGCAGAGATTGGGCCATGGATGCGGGACCACGGAGGCAGGCGAGGAGGAGCAGGAGGCGCGGGAGGATGAGGGAAAGGAGCAGAAGGGAGAGGCGGCGGGGGAGGAAGAGGATGCTGATGATGATGATGGTGGTGATGATAATGCTGATGACGACGACGACGACGATGATGATGATGATGATGATGATGATGATGATGATGATGATGATGATGATGATGATGATGATGATGATGATGATGATGCTGATGCTGATGATGATGATGCTCATGATGATGATGACGCCGCTACTGACGGATACTGATGAGGAGGAGAAGGATGAATATGACGATGATGATTATGATGCTGATGATGATGATGATGATGATGATGATGATGACGCTTATGCTGATGCTGATGCTGATGCTGATGCTGCGAGGAGGAGGAGGAGGAGGAGAAGGAGTGCCCCAAACCGCCTCTCATGGAGCAATGCCGACTCCGATTCTAGTTCCGATTCCGATTCCATTGAATATGATGATGATGACGATGATGATGATGATGATGATGATGATGATGATGATGATGATCATGATGATGATGATGATGATGATGATGATGATGATGATGATGATGATGATGATGATGATGGTGATTATGATGATGACGATGATGATGAGGATGCAGATATTGATGAATATGCTGATGACGATGATAATGCTGCTGATGCTGATGATGATGCTGCTGATGATGATGCTGATGATGATGGTGATGATGATGATGACACTGATGCTGCTGATGCTGATGATGATGCTGATGATGATTATACTGATGATGCTGATGATGATGCTGATGATGATGATGATGCTGCTTCTGATGCTGCTTCTGATGCTGATGATGATGCTGCTGATGATGATCATGATGCTGATGCTGATGCTGATGCTGCTGCTGATGATGATGCCTGCTGATGATGATGATGATGATGATGATGCTCATGCTCTTGCTGCTGCTGCTGATGATGATGATGCTGCTAATGCTGATGATGATGATTTGATGATGATGATTATTATTGATGGTGCTGATGATGCTGATGATGCTGCTGCTGCTGATGAGATGATTATGATGATGCTGTGCTGATGATGATGATGATGATGATGATGATGATGATGATGATGATGATGATGATGATGATGATGATGATGATGATGATGATGATGATGATGATTATGATGATGATGATGATGATGCTGATGATTATGAGATGATCAGGATGAGGATGAGGATGAGGATGATGATGATGGAATGAGGGATGAGGATGAGGATGAGGATGAGGATGAGGAGGATGAGGATGAGGATGAGGATGAAGATGATGATGATGATGATGATGATGATGATGATGATGATGATGATGATGATGAGATGATGATGATGATGATGCTGATGCTGATGCTGATGCTGATACTGATGCTGATGATGATGATGATGATGATGATGAGAGGAGGAGGAGGAGGAGGAGGAGGAGGAGGAGGAGGAGGAGGAGGAGGAGGAGGAGGAGGAGGAGGGGGAGGAGGAGGAGGAAGAGGAGGAGGAGGAGGGAGGGGGAAGAGGGAGCAGCAACAGAAAGTCGAGCGAGGAGGAGGGACTCGAGGCGAGGATGCCCTCCCCGGCCCAGCAGCCGCAGGCTGGGACGACGAGCTGCTCGCAGCGGCGCCCGCTGGGCGCGCTGGAGCCCTGGCCCGGCCCACCCGGTGGAGGTACGAAGCCGCCGACGGGAAGGGCGCAGGCATCCGGAAAGCCCCTTCCATCGACGCGGAGCGCACCGGAGACGTCCTTGCGTCCGGGGAGGTGTTTGCTGTCTCCGAGGAGAAGGAGGGCCGAGGTCGGGAGTTCGTAGAGGGGGAGGGGTCCCAAGGTGGGGTTAGGGAACGTTCCCAGCTGGATACTCACATTTCCTTCGTACACGGGCCGTTTTGCACGATTTTCCTCTAACCCCACCTCTGCCCCTACCCCGCCTTTACGTCCCTCCGACGAGGGGGCGTGACCTTCCTCAGGCTGCAAGACGGACGAGGTCGGCGGCGCGCAAGGGGAAAAGGGCTGCGCGAGGGGTCGGCATGCCAGGGAGGGGCGGGGGCCTCCTCCCTGCCTGTTTCGGAGGCCCTCTCGGGCACCCCCTGGGGCCGTCCTATAAAGACCCCATGCCTGCTTTGGGGGCCGCCCCCCTTTTGTTCCATTCTTTGGCTCGGCATGGGGGAGGAGGAGGAGGGGGAGGAGGAGGAGGAGGAGGAGGAGGAGGAGGAGGAGGACGAGCTGGAGGAGGAGGACCAGTGTGAACCCAAGACTCATCAACGAGGTTGGAATAAACCCTCCCTCCAAGCTCCATCTTCGTAGGCCCCTACAAGGGTTCATCTCCACTGAGGGAACTGCCTCGTTGGGGGACAACCGCTTGAAGATTCTGAAGCATGCCAAAACACCGTTCTCGGGACTCCAACGCCACATATCAACTTGACAGTTGCGCCGTGACGATCCTGAATCGTACCAGAATAGCATTCCTGGGAATTCAACACCGCGAGTCAACGTAACTGTTGCACCCTCGCAATCATGAGTCCTTCTAGAAGATATCTGGTTCGTTGACCATGGGGATCTGTGAAACTCTTGCATGTTATAAGACGAGTGTGCGCGGCGCGAAGGCGAGAGCCACATTCTGAAAACGAGCCGCCCTCAATCCGTGAAACTCTTGCACTCTTTTAAAACGAACATGCGCGGCGCTAAGGCGAGAGCCACGTTTTGAAAAGGAGGAGGGGAGGAGGGGAAGGGGGGGGGGTCCTGGTGAAAACGGGTCGTGGGCCCCGAGGCTCTCCCCTGGGCTCTCCCAGGGCTCTCCCACTGCGTCCCGAACTGTTCTCGACGGCGGGGGCACGGAGCAGGGCCTTGGGGCCCCGAAGGTGACACAGCCTCCAGGACATTCTTTTAGTAGACGCTCTTCTGGGGGGCCTGGGTCCCACCTGCCGGATCTGTTCGATTCTAGTCTGATCTTTAGGCTTACGCCACACCGCCGACCCCTTGGTCTTTTTTTGAGGCAATCTTCGACGTCTTGGGGGCGTCATGGCCCGCATTCCTATCGTCGTCGTCTTTGCTCCTCCTCCCAGTAGTCGGCCCATCCCGCCACCGTGCCTGAGTTGTGGTTCAGAGGCCTCTCAGATATTCGTTGGGATCTCGTGAGAAGCCTCTCGGGGGCCTGCTGGAGGCAGTTTGGAGGCACCTGGGGAGCTGTTTTGGGGCTTATTGTGGCCTTTTTTGGGCCTCTTGGGGGCCTCTTGGGGCCTCTTGGGGGTCTCTTGGGGCCTCCTGGGGGCCTTTTGGGGCGGAAAGCTGGTTTTTTTCGCTTCGTGGACCACGTGGCAGGTAGACAAGACCGTCCTTCTGTGCAAGGGCTTCTTCAAAAGTCGCGCTATGCCGAGCACGGGCCGGAGAGACATGACCGGGTGTCTTCACGGGCCGCAGAATGAGGAGAATCTGAACGGCACGCTGCCTGCAATTCTGAGCGGCGGGGTGGGCCTCAACTTCAATTCGGATTTGCAGTTGCCGTATCGGTTTCCAATACTGGAAGAAACGCACGACGGGGCGGTGTGCGAAGAGAGGTGCTGGGAAGGGGCGCAGGCGAAAGACATTGTTCTTGCTGCGCAGCGCGCGCAAAACGCGCAGGCAGGCTACGCTTGTGACTACGGGGCGAAGCGACTGGCGACGTCGTTCAATGAGGTGAAGGAGATCAAGAAGGGCCATCACGCACTGAGTGAGAAAGTGAAAGAGAGGAGTGCATCGTACGTGGCACACAGGCACATCACGCGCCTCCTGTCCGACTTGTACGGGAAAGGAATCGTGCGTTCAGCGCAGGAGAGCGTGAACCTGCGCGCATATTGGGATGCGCGAGACGTAACGGCCGCAGAGAGCATGAAAACAGCGAAGACGGCCATGGTCCCTGGGTTCGATGTTGTACGCCTCGTCGAGCGAGAGTGCGGTGTGGCGTCAGAACGGTCGGGGCCAGGGCGGTGTCATATTGAGCGCGATGGGAGGCGTGCGAAGAGGCCCCGGGTAGTTTCGAATAACCCAGCAGTGCTGTATGTCATGAGGCCGTTGGAGTCGGCGTGGGCTCCAGAGATCAAGTTTTTGTCAGTGTATGAGTTTTATCGGTATTGGCGAATCGAGCTGACGCGGTTTTTGACGAAGCCGAAGAGCAAGCAAGAGGAAGGCGAAGACGACGAAACAGTGTACCACGCGGTTCTCGCACCCGCCGGCAGAGCGAAACTGGAGCGAGCGAAATGGACAATCGGGGAGGAGCCTCCGTTGACCGCTGGGAAGGATTACGTCGTTCGAGGGGATGGATGTGAGAGCTGGGTGGCGTTTCCAGACGTTCCTGGCATGGAAACGACGCGCCACAGGTGGGTCCTCGTGCGAAACGAGCGCCCGCGGAACCCGAGCTTCCACGGTGCGCCGCAGCCGAAGCACAGGCCCGGTGAGGAAGACAGGAACGGGTTGATGCTCATGGCGTACTTCCGCCCATTCACGTTGCAGACGTCGGCCGTGGACACAGTGTCCCGCGTGTCTGACTGGTGCGCGGGCGGCCGGTCTGCGGGCGTAGTGGCACGGGAGTGGCTAGACGGGGGGCTGACGTGCGAAGAGGCGAAACGGTACGTGCATAATTACATGAACGTGGTTGACATGCGGCCAGAGGGGGAGGAGTCGGGTTGGAAGCACGAGGATGACCTTTGCAGCGGCGAAGACGTGGATGTCGATGACATCAACGACGAAACAAAGCGCTGGGTACATGTAGGGGGCGCGCGCATGGAAGACGAGGCGCGGGAGACGACTGAAGCAGTGGCGGATGCTCGGCGACAGAGTGCGGAAGCCATGGTTTTGTCTGCGCGCGTTTGGAGGCGGCTTCCAGGCGGCGGCGGGGATTCGCCGGAGGGCGGGTGGGCGCGAACAGGCGGTCGCGAGGAAGTGCCGGGCGCGGAGTTAAAGCGTGGGGAAGCGGAGGCGAGGGCGTCGCAAACGAAAGAGAGTGGAGACCCCTTGGCGGCATATGAAGGGGGAGACGGGCGCATTGTGTCCGAGCCGGCTGGGGCCGCGCGGGAGCTGAGGAAATGGAGAGCGAGCTTCAGCGAACCCGAGGAGGAGCGTCCGCTGAAGCTCAACGAGCAGCAGCGGGAAGTGGTCGGGAAAGTCGTGAGCAGGATGATAGAGGAGTGCGGGGAGGACGACTCAGCACGGGTAAGCGGGGAACCTTTGTTGTGGATGTTGCACGGGGGGCCAGGAACAGGCGAGAGCTACGTGGTGGACGCTCTGCGGACGCACGTGTTCGAGGGCATCGTGAAGTGGAGACGCGGGCTGGACTTTCAAGTGGCGGCGCTACGGGCCACGAACGCGTCGGCGCTGGACGGGCATGCCTTGCGTGCGGCTTTTGGGATGACGCCCTTTGCGAGCGGTTCGGACAACTCTCAGAAGCGCGGGTCGGACGGGGCGAAAAAGGTGGAGGCTGCCAAGCGGATGCAACAGTGGCGGTGGTTAATCATCGATGAGATTAGCATGGTAAGTGCAAGCTTTCTCGCGGAGTTGGACGCGCATTTGCGGTCGGTCATGTCGGCGGCGCGCCAGGGAAAAGTTGACGCTGAAGGGGTGGGCAGGCCGTTTGGAGGGGTGAATGTGTTGTTTTGTGGAGATTTCTACCTGCTGGAGCCGCCGGGTGGCGCGCCTTTGAACGCGATCCCGACGTCGTGGGTTCGTCAGGCAAGGCAGTGCGCGCCAAGCGCGGGGGAGGGCCATGGGCATTGCATTTTCTGGGGTGCGGGACACGGTTCCGTTGCAGGGATGACCGGGCTAGTGGAATGCAAGCGGTTGGAAGGTCATGGCGAGTGGTTCTTGAGTGTTCAGGACGAGCTCCGGCGCGGGGCCAGTTTCTGCGCGGGCGACCGACGGACGTAGCCGGGTCGTGGGTGGGGCGCGGGCAAACGTGCGGTTCCGAGCACTGCGCGAAGAACGCAGAGGCCATCGCAAGAGACAACACGCAGGAGTGCGATCTTTGTAAAGCAGAGCGGCGTAGACGGCAGGTGGTCGCGACGGGGCCCGATGACGAACGATTTTTTTTTGCCGGAGTTCGTGGGCGATTTACCCGAATCAGGATGTGAAGTGCAAAGTCGCGCGCCAGCGTGCCGTGGACTGGGCCGCGAGCGAGGGGAAGCAAATTTCGTGGGTGTGCGCGAGAGATGTGGCGCGTCATGGGGCCCTCCAAAAACGGCCGTACACGTCTGCGGACAAGGTTCGGTGGCTGGGATACCATGATAAAGCATGCGCAGATATGCCTGGGTGGCTGCCGCTGGCGGCGGGCATGCCCGTGGTTTTGACAGATCATTTGGATCGGGGTGAGAAACAGCTGCTCCGCGGGTGCCACGCGACGATTCACTCGGGGGTTGTCGACGAGGACGAGGGTGCCGTCGCGGACGCGGCAGAAGTCACGCTTCGGAGGATGCCGAGGCAGATCGTGCTCGACTTTCATACGGGCGCGTGGACGCTGACGAGCATGCCGGGGCCGGGCCTGTATCCGATCGTACCGAAACAACGGGTCTGGTTCTTGGGCGCGTACCGTAAGAAGCCTGTGTTGGGTGTTCGGCGGAAACAGTTTCTGATATCGCGGGGCCTGGCAAGCGCGGCTCGCGCGGCGCAGGGCCGATCCCTAGACGCTGTCATAGCAGATTTACAGGAGGGTTGAAATGTGAGTTGGATGGCGAGTGACGTGGCAATCACCCGCGTGAAGACTCGTGGAGGTTTGCTGATATAGCGCCCGTTTGAGATGAAGCCGTATACGCAAGGAGAGATGGAAGGGGCGAAACGTATGCTGGGCAAGTTGCGCGGGGAGGAGGTGCCGTGGGCGGAAATAGAAGCGAAGCTGATGCCCCGTAAGATGTGCAGTAGATGTAGCACCTTGAAGGAGAAAGCGGTTTCACGCTCACAGAGGTCAGGGAGAAGGACGGGCCGTGTTTTTGTCGCGAGTGCGCGGATGAGTTGAAGGAAGCGGGCGAAAAGTGGTGCACCGAATGCAAGACGTGGGCCGCGTTGGGGCCGAGGGCGCCAGAGGGCGAGGCTCGCGGAAGGCGAGTGTACGTAAGGGCGAGCAAGTGCGAGAGATGCGCGGGGCCCGCGACGGCGCGGAAGTCACGGAAGGAGTCGGCGGCGTGGCAGGAGAAGGTTCAGGAGAAATTAAAGATTCGGTGCGCGAGGTGTACGAATTTCTTGAAGACGGAGGCGGAAGTGGCGGCGAACCAGTGCGACTCGAAAGATGCGGGGGAGAGGCTTTGCAGGGCGTGCACCCGCAACGAGAAGGGTGGGCGGAACGAGAAGGCGGATGCAGAGAATCGCAAGCGGAAAGCAGAGGCGGACGCGAAGCCGCTGACGTGCGCGGCGTGCAAAGGCGCGTTCTCGGACACGAAAGATTTGAAGCAGAAGCAAGTGGAACATCATCGAGCGGCGAAAGGAGCTAAAGTGGTGTGCAGAAGCTGCGAGGAACTCGGGTTCACAGCGCGCAGTTGCCAGGCTTATCAGTGCAGCGGCGCGTGCAAGAGAGGACTACCAAAGTCGGCATTCCCCGACCCGCGCAATGTCCCGCGCGACGCAAAGAAGGGCACCCTAAAGTGCAAGACATGCAAATGATGCCCAATCGGTTGCGCGTACTGGGCAGAAAAGGGAGGACGGGAAGAGGAGGATGGGGGGTGAGGCGGAAAATGGGGGGGGGGGGAAGCATCGGTGAGGATGAGCTGAAGCGGGGCAGGATGAGGAGGAGGGGAACGAGGAGGAAGTGTAGGAGGAGGAGGAAGAGGAGGAAGAGGGGGACACTGAGATAAGGCTCCGGGTTATGGGGCTGGGCGCGACTTGAAAAACCAGTGTGTTCGGAGATGTCCGTTGGGATCTTGCGGGGGGGCTTCTTGCGGGCCTCTTGGAGCAGTTTCGAAGGCTCTTGGGGGCCGTTTTGGGGCCTCTTTGTGGCTTCTTGGGCGCCTCTTGGAACGTCTTGGGGGCCTCTTGGGGGGTTCTTGGGGCCTCTTTGGGGCCTCTTGGGGCCTCCTGGGGGCCTCTTGGGGCGTAAGGCTGGGTTTTCCGGTGCGTGGTCTCTCTCTGGAGCCCCTCTTGGGCCCGTCTCCGGGAGGTTCTCGGGCCGTCTTGGGCGGCTCTCGGGCCGTCTGGGGGCTCTCTTGGGCCGCCTTGGGCGGCTCTTGGGCCGTCTGGGGGCTCTCTTGGGCCGTCTTGGGGGCGTCGTGGAGGCCTCCTGTGCCGTCTTGGAGCAGTCTTGGGAGCTTCTTGGGCTGTCTTGGAGCGTCGGAAGGCCGAAAAGGCAAAAATGACGAAAACATCGAAAAAAACAATGAAAATCAACGATTTTGGCCTCTTTGGGCGCTCCTCGGGGGCCTCTTGGAGGTCTCTTGGGGCGTCTTGGAGGTCTCTTCGGGCGTCTTGGAGCCCTCGTGGGGCGTCTTGGAAGCTTCTTGGGGCCTCTTGGGCGCTTCTTAGGGCGTCTAGGCGGTCTCTTGGGGCGTCTGGGGGCCTCTGGGAACGTCTGGGAGGCCTCTTGGGGCCTTCTTGGCTCGTATTTGGGCCCTTTTGGGCCCGGAAGAGCGTCGTGAGTCGCTCGTGGTGGCCCCCCCCCCCCCCTCCAAATCGACCGGACCGGGTTCCCGGGGGAGGGGTTTGGGGAGGGGGAAGCATCTCACACGCCGATGACCCAAGGGGTCGGCGGATTCCAGTTCGACTCTTGTTCGGCTCAAGTTCGACTCAAGTCGACAGACGCTCGACGCAGCATCGACCTCTGAGTGGAGCGAGTGGCTCCATCAAGGTTTCGAGTCCACAGGGACCGCCGGCCTAGATCGCCCGTGCCGGCAGCCGTTTCGCCTGAGACTGCGGGCAAACCATTCAGGAATCGTGCCCTCGCCTCGATGCCGCCTACATTTTTGGTCCGGGCGGCCACGACCCCGTGCCGTGTAAAAGTTAATCTTCTGTCGCGCCTGTCCCTCTACATCGACTATTTTTGCCAATATGGGGGTATTACCCGAGTTTTTTTTTAATATATATATATAAACAGAAGTTATTTTTAACATTTTTTCGGCCAACATAAAGTCCCCCTGTAAGGGGACAGGCCCGACCTAAAGTTGCACTGGGGTGCACATGGCCGTGCCCTCGCCTCAATGCCATGTGCTTCTTGTTGGTCCGGACGGCCACGATCCCTGGCAGAGCCTGCGCCATGGGCGCACGCGGCCGCGCTCTCGCCCCTGCCCCGGCTGCTCTCACCCCTTGTCTCGCCTCTTCGCCTCTGCCTTGTGGAGGACAATCAGTGGAGAGGAAGCGTGTTGCCAAATAATATCCGGATGTCTAGAAAGTGTGTCAAAACTGTTTGAAGCATTGTCAATAACAGGTCTTAAACATTTCCAGGACATGTTTCCGGCATTTTGAAGCACATTTTGAATTCAATGATAGGACTGTTAGGGTGTCCCTTGTCGTGGCATCCACAATGCTATCCGGGTGCTTTGCCGGGGCCACTCTTCTCCGGGGCCCTGCTCGCGGGGAGGGCACGCAGGCCACCGCCGCCGAGAGCCCGTCGGTGAGGGACCCGGCCCTGGGCGGTGGCACGCCCGAGCGTCACCCCAAGACAGGACGATGCTCACGCGTGCCACCGCTGGGAGCTCGGTGGCGGTCCTGCGCATTCTTCCCCTGGTTCTGCCTCCTCGCTGGCCCGTGCGCGCCGCCAGAGAGGCTGGCTCTTCGACCGGAAGCCGGGGGTCGGCGCCCTGTGCACGCGGGTGCCCGAGCGGGCGGCCCCCGAGGAGGAGGAGGAGGGCGGCGCCGAGCTGCCCGAGGCGCCCGCGCCGAGGGCGGCGGCGGCGGCGGAGCCTCCCGGAGGCGGGCGGGGTGGGCGGTGGGCGGGGTGGGCGGGGGCAGCGTTTTTTTTTTTTTTTTTTTTTTTTTGTTGTTTTGTTTTTTTTTGTTTTATTGTTTTTTTTTTCTTCTTCTTTTCTCTCTCTCAGGATTCGGAAGAAGGATTCGGGGGGGGATGAAAAGGCGAAAGCTGAATATCAGGAGTAGGAGCAGGTTCATGAGGACGATCCTGATCATGATGCTGTTGGTGTTCAGTGTGACGATGATGCTTGTGATGGTAGTGTAACTTCTGGTGGTGATGGCAATGACGATGACGATGACGACGATGACGACGACGATGATGATTATGCTGATGAAGAAACAGATGATGATGATGATGATGATGATGATGATGATGATGATGATGATGATGATGATTCTGATACTGATGATGATTCTGATGATGATGATGATGTTGATGCTGCTGATGATGCTGATGATGATGACGACTATACTGATGACGATGACGATGCTGCTGCTGCTGCTGATGATGATGATGATGATGATGATGATGATGATGATGGTGATACTGATGGTGGTGGTGATTAGTATGATCAGGTTTTTTTTGGAAATTGACGGTTGAAGATAGGTCATATGGATGATGGTGACGATGTTGCTGTTGATGTTTATGATGATGATGATGATGATGATGATGATGATGATGATGATGATGATGCTCATGATCATGAAGATGACGATGACGATAACGATGACGTTGACGGTGATGATTGTAGTGGTGATAATGGTAGCGATGATGATGGTGATGGTGATGATGATGGCAACGGTGATGAAGGTGATGATGATGAGGATGATAATGCTCATGCTGATGATGATCATAGTGATGATGTTGACGATCATTATGGTTATGATTCTGATTAGGATGATGATGATGATGATGATGATGATGAGGAACATGATTATGATGCTGAACATGATGGTGATGACGTTGTTGATTATGATGATGATGACGACGACCACGACGACGACGACGACGAGACGACGACGATTACGACGAGGACGATGATGATGACGATGCCGATGATGATGATGATGATGATGATGATGATGGTGGTGGTGGTGGTGGTGGTGGTGGTGGTGATGATGATGATGATGATGATGATGATGATGGTGGTGATGATGATGCTCATGATGCTGATGATGATGATGCTGCTGATGATGATGATGCTGATTGATGTTGATTGATGTTGATGAGTTCACAGTCCTATATCATAATCATGGTTGGTCCCCCCTCTGGTGCCTTTCGTGTTGTTTTCAATCGAAGTGACCCTCCCGTGGCTCGCAACTTGTTTGAGCCTCAGAATGGGTTATTGCCTCAGACTGGGTTGTTGGCCTCGGTGTGTCACAATAGCGTCTCCCGTCTGATCCTTCTTCACGATTTGTTCAAAATCGCGCGCTCACGCAGGACTTTCTCACAGTTTATCCAGGAATCGCGCTCTCGCGGGGGACGTCTTTTCATTTTATTCAGACGCCGCGCCCTCGACACCCATGAATCATGCTCTCGCTCTAGACTTCCTCACGATTTACTTGGGAATCACGCTTTCGCTCGAGACCTCCTCGCGATTCATGCAGGACTGACGCTTCAGCGACCCGCTCGCTCGACCCGGCCGTTTGGGCCCGCCCGCCCGACCCGCCCGTCAGGGTTCACCCGCCCGACCCGCTCGTCTAATCAGGTCTGCCGCTTGAAGTTTTCCCGCTCTGAAGCCCCATCCTTCTTCCTCCCCCTTGTCCTTTTCCTCCTCCCTCCCTTCCCCTGTGTCAGGGGCTGCGCCAACTAAACGTGGCAGGTAAGAAATCGATACCCCCAAGGTGGGTATGATCGAAGACGAAGAGGGCAGGCCTCGAGGGATTGCCATATACATGTTGATTGACTCGAAAGCACTTGCGAGTGATCAGTCTTGACATGAATGCTGTTGTTGATGATGGTGACGATGACGATGACGACGACGATGACGATGACAATACGATGACGATCACGACGACGATGTTGCTGCTGCTGGTGCTGCTGCTGCTGATGATGGTTATGATGATGGTGAGGAGAATGCTGCTGCTGATGATGCTGTTGATGATGATGATACTGATGAAGGGGATGATGATGCCGATGATAATGCTGCTATTGCTGATGCTGATGATGCTAATGATGGTCATGGTGCTGCTGCTGATGCTGATGGTGATGATGATGATGACGATGAGGATGATGATGATGATGCTGATGCTGACGATTATGATGATGATGGTGATGTTAATGAAATTCATGGTGATGGTTTTGATTAGGATCGACATTATGCTGCTCATGATTACGATATTGATTATGCTTATAACGGCGACGATGATACTGATGATGATTAGGATGATGATGGTGATAGTGATGAGGATGATGAGGAGGATGATGATGCTGCTGATGATGATGCTGATGATAATGATATTGCTGTTACTGTCGCTGCTGCTGCTGACGAGGATGACGGTGCTGCTGCTGCGGATGATGTGGATGATGATGGTGGTGATGATGATGATGACGATGCTACTGCTTATGATGATGATGATGACGATGATGATGATGACGATGCCGATGCTGCTGCTGATGATGATAATGATGCTGCTGCTGCTGATGACGATGACGATGACGATGACGATGATGATGATGATGATGATGATGATGATGATGATGATGATGATGATGATGATGATGATGATGATGATGATGATGATGATGATTCTGATGATGCTGCTGCTGCTGATGATGATGATGATGATGATGATGATGATGATGATGGTGAGGATGACGATGATGCTGATGATGATTATGCTTATTCTGATTATGTTCACTCTGGTGATGATAATGGTGCTGCTGCTGCAGATGCTGCTGTTACTGCTGATGTTGGTGATGATGAAGAAAGCTTAGCATGGTCAGAGGTTGAGCAGGAGGAGGAGGAGGAGGAGGAGGAGGAGGAGGAGGAGGGCGATGATAATGATGATGACTCTGGCCGTTGGTACAAGGACCTGGGGGCCTCTCCTCCTCCCCCCGTCTAGAGTAATCGCGCCCCCTCCTCCTTCTTCTCCTCCTCCTCCTCCTCCTCCTCCGTCCTTCTCCTCGTCTTCGTCTTCTTCTTTGATCTTTCCCCTGCTCTTCTTCTTCTTCTTCTTCTTCTTCTCTTGTACTCCTGCTCCCTCCCGAGCGCCGAGCCGCGGGACTGGCGCAGGCAGGCCAGGAGGGGGATGGCCGCCCTCTCTCTCGCAGGCGGCCGACGCTCCCTGCCGCGGGCCTCCACCATGGGGCGGCTCCGGCGGTCGCTCCGGGAGGGGTGACGCGCGGAAGGAAAAAGAGGGGGCGCGAGCAGGAAGGGAGGGGCGGCGCGGGGAGGCGGCCTGCCGGGAAGGGGTGCCGGGAGAGGGAGGCGGGCGGCCTGCCGAGAAGGCGGCCCGTCGCGGGGTGGCGCGCGGGCGAGCGGGGCGCCAGCAGGAGGGCCGTCGCAGGGAGGCGGGGGCGGGTTCCCCCCCCCCCCCCGTGGGCACGCCAACGGCGATGCAGGCCACGGCGATGTCGGTTTCGGTACTGCAGGCGGGGGCGGCTCGTGGCCCATCAGCTCGTGGGCACGGCCTGTTCGTGCTCTCCTGCGATCTGTTCTGCGCGGGTTCGGCGTCGCAGAAACCAGATTCCAAACAGCGCCGTGAACCAACATCGCCGTTAGCGTGGCCTTGGTCCACGCCTCCGCCTTTCTCTGGAGCCCTCTCGGGCGCCGCGAGGGGCCCTTCCGAGAAGCCCCGTGCCCGTTCCGAGGGGCGCCCCCCTCGTTCCACTCCCCTGCTCGGCGCGAGGGGAAAAGCGAGTCCTGGTGGAAGCGCGTCGATCCAGGAGGGGTGACGCGCGGATTTCGGCATACGGGAAGCTCCACCGAAGGCGCGTGCGGCTCCGCGCCCTCCGCATCTTCAAGTCGGTACACCCCTCACACGTGTTGTAGCCCCTTAGGGATATCCACCGAGAAAGAGGGCGCGGGCGGGAGAGTGGATGAGAACGAGGGCGGATGCAAGCAGGAGGGCGAGCAGCAGGACGAGGGCAAGGACTGGCAGGAGGGCAAGGAGAGTGCCGAGCAGGAGGAGGACGCGCGGGAGGCACAGGGCGCGAGCGGGAGACGAGCAGGCCGCTGGAGCATCTGGGGTGGAGGTTCGAACGTCGAGCTTCGAACTCCGAGGTTCTGGGACGTTCTTCTACGCTTCTGGGCCTCCGGGGGGCTTCTCGTCGTCACGGCTGGATCCGCCTCGAAATTTCGCTCAGAACGCACCCCGGACCAGGTCCGGGGACGACGCGCGGGAGAGAAAGCGCGAGCGGGGCGAGGGTCAGGAGCGGTGATGATGGTCCAAGAAGGGGGGTGCGGTCGGTCGAGGTTCTTGGGTGTTTCCGTCGGCTCTCGGCGGTCACCTCGTGGACAGCGTTCCGGGGGTGCCTGGATCGTCTCGAACGGCCGCCGGAGGCTGGAGTTGTGACCCGGAAGCCACGAGGCGTAGACAAGCAGGATGGACGAGCAGCAGGGCGAGGGCGGGGACGAGCAGGAGTGCAAGGGAAGGACGAGAGCGAGGGTCGGAGGGCGAGGAGGACGAGCGCGAGGGATGACGGGGAGGAGGAGGAGGAGGAGGAGCGCGAGGGCAAAGGCAGGGGCCATCTGAGACAGGAGCGGGGGCAGGGGCAGGGGAGGATGAGATCAGGGCGTTCATGCTGCAGACGCCTGTGGCTGTGCGTGGAGAGAGAGAGAGAGAGAGAGAGAGAGAGAGAGAGAAGGAGAGGGAGAAAGAGAGAGAGAAAGAGAGGGAGAGAGAGAGAGAGATGCGGTCAGGATCGAGAAAATCTGGTCGCATTGGTATCTCCCACCCTGTGAGAGGCGTCACCCGGTCGAAGGTATACCATTGCCGCAGGTTGCGGACAAGAGTGAGGGGGCAGCGGGATCGTCGGCAGCCTGCGAGGCTCTGATTGAAGAAGCCCGCCGCAGGCGCCGACTTTCGTCAAACCAATGTGGGTGGGTCGCGGGTGGGTCGCGGGCGGGTCGCGGGCGGGTCCTGGGTGGGCCACGGGCGGGTCGTGGGCGCGGACCGCGACGGCTACAACAGACAACACGCCAACAACAAACAACGGTAATTCACCGCAGAAGCTCGCTTGAGGCACGCACTCATGGATGGTGTGCGACCGTTCGGCCCCCTCACGGGCGCCCCCCGGGGCCGTCCTACGAAGCCCCCTTGCCTACTCGGAGGGCCGCCCCCCCTTTGTTGCATCCCCTGGCTCGGCATGGAGGAGGAGGAGGAGGAGGAGGAGGAGGAGGAGGAGGAGGAGGAGGAGGAGGAGGAGGAGGAGGGAGGAGGAGGAGGAGGAGGGAGGAGGAGGAGGGGGGATTGGGAAGGAGAAGGGCGTCGTCCTCGCCCCCGTCGTGCTTCCGCCTCCTTTGTTTCCACCTCCTCCTACTCCTCCTCCTCCTCCTCCTCTTCCTCCTCGTTCTTCTTCTTCTCCTTCTCCTCCTCCTCCTCTTTCTCCTCCTCCTTTACTCCCCCTTTTTAACGCTGATCAGGCCTGAATCCTCGGATTGTAGAGTTCTCCTCCTCCTCCTCCTCCTCCTCCTCCTCCTCCTCCTCCTCCTCCCTTCCACGACGATGGTCCCGACAACGGCACGAGTCGATGACTGCCGCCGACCCCTGCAGAGTGGGTCGAGCCCGCGCGCAAATCCCGTCCCTGACCTGCACCTTGGCCCGCGGGGGCTGACACAAGGCGCGCTGCCCTTAGCCGCTGTTCGCCGCTTCTCACTCCTCCTTTCCCCCCCCTCTCTCTCTCCCTCTTCCTCTCCCTCTTCCTCTCACGCTCACGCTCACGCTCACTGTCCCTCTGCCTATCCTTTCCTCCTCTTCCCTTTCACCCCAACTCTCTCCTTCCTCTCCCTCTGTTTTTTCTCCACCCACCTCTCATCCCCATTTCCCCCTCTGTCTCACATTAAAACTTCTTTCTCTCTGGCACACTCTTTCTCTCTCTGCTGTCTCTGCCTCTGTCTCTGTCTCTGTCTCTGCCTCTGCCTCTGTATCTGCCTCTATCTCTGTCGCTACCTCTGTCTCTATCTCTGTCTCTGTCTGCCTGCCTGCCTGCCTCTTCTCTGTCTGTCTGTCTGTCTGTCTGCCTGCCTGCCTGCCTGCCCGCCTGCCCGCCTGTCTGTCTGTCTGTCTGTCTGTCTGTCTGTCTGTCTGTCTGTCTGTCTGTCTGTCTGTCTGTCTGTCTGTCTGTCTGTCTGTCTGTCTGTCTGTCTATCTGTCTCTCTGTCTCTCCGTTTTTACGTCTCTGTCTGTCTGTCTGTCTGCCTGTCTGTCTGTCTGTCTGTCTGTCTGTCTGTCTGTCTGTCTGTCTGTCTGTCTGTCTGTCTGTCTGTCTGTCTGTCTGTCTGGCTCTCTCTCTCCCTCTCTATTGGCGACCCCAGCTTCGACGCCTGCACCGCCGCCGGCACCGGCGACCCCAGCACCGACGCCTGCACCGTCCGCTGCAGCATCGGCGCCTGCACCGACGTCTACACGCGTCGACTCCCGCATCGAGGCCCGCACCGAGGCCTACCCCGTCGACCGCAGCATCGACGCCAGCATCGACGCCAGTATTGGTGTCTCCATCATCGACGCCCGTATCGCCGCCGACACTGGCGACCCCTGCATTGACACCTGCATCGTCACCGACTGCGTTGACTCTACCATGGACGCCTGCACCGACATCTGCACCGTCGACCTCGGTATCGTTGCCTGCATCGACGCCAACATCCTTGACCCCTACGTCGTTATATCGACTCCCACATCGACGTCCAGGACATCCCAGCTGGCGGATAGCAGAGAGTTCAGCACAATGGGAAGTGTTGTGAGGGAGGGTTATGGTTCTGACGTACGGTGAGGCGCGGGCGCAGCTTGCCCCCCTCTCTCTCTGTCTGTCTGCCTGTCTCTCTGCTTCTCTGCCTGCCTCTTTGCCTCTCTTTCTCTCTGTCTTTCTGCCTTTCCGTCTCTGCCTCTGTCTCTAACTCTGTCTCCTGGGATTCCGCCTCGATGGCGCACCCAACTCCGCGAGCAGGGACAGCGAGGCGCAACGGTAATGGCATAGGCAGGCGATGCAGGACGCCAGGTGCCGCGAGAGCGCGCCCGGCTTGGCCCTATCCGCTCTCCCCTCCCCCTCCCCGATCCCCTCCTACAGCGGCCCAGCACAACATCTACTACCCGCACCTCTCCCTGGAAGCCGCCCCGGACCCGCCTCCGCCCGCCCCTGTCCGCCTGTCCGCCTGTCCGCCCCCCGTCCGCCCCCTCCTTCGCCCCTCCCCGCCATGCCCCTCCCCGCCTTGCCCCTCCCCCCTGCCCTCCCCCCTTGCCCCCCTGCTCCCCTCCTCCCTCCTCCTCCTCCTCCTCCTCCTCCTCCTCCTCCTCCTCCTCCTCCTCCTCCTCCTCCTCCTCCTCCTCCCCCTCCCCCTCCCCCTCCCCCTCCGCCCTTCCCTCGTGGCGGTGGGCGGCGGTGAGAACTTTGGAGGGCGGAAGGGTCTCTCTACTAGGCTTCGTAACCCTAGTGCTACCTGTCTTTTGGGATGGCCCTGCCAGCCCGATTCTTTGAAGCACTATTTCACAACATGTCCACGTTTCGAATGGAACCTCGCACGCCCATTGGGCAAGTACCCCCTTCTCGACCCCCGTCTTCGCCTCGCTTTCATAGACGGCACGCTTGACTCTCTCAAGTGCGTTGTGATAGACTACCATTGCTATCGCACTCTGCGTGCCAACATGGAGAGGGAGAGAGAGAGAGAGAGAGACACGCACGTATGATACGCCCGACGACCATCTCGAAACGGCTCGCGCTGCCCGAATGGCGGCTGAGCTCACTTTTCGCCACGGCGCGGCCGTTCGGCGATAGGGTGGCGCTGGGAGGAGCTCTGATTCGAGGCTGTCCTCCTCCTCCTCCTCCTCCTCCTCCTCCTCCTCCTCATCCTCCCCCTCCCCGTTCTTCTCCCCGCTTCCCTTTATCCACCGAGGAGCGCGAAGAGGAGCCCCCCCCTGTCCAGATCCTCCTCGCCGACGGCGGGAAGGACACCCCAGGGCGAGTCAGCGAGCCAGGGGCGGGGAGAAGAAGGATGGGGAGGAGGATCGGGAGCAAGGCTGGCAAGCTCCGCATGTCCAGGTGCCAGCCCCCCAAGAAGAGTGCCGAACGTTCGAAATTCATCAGGGGTCTGCTCCCAAGGACCCTCCCAAGCTGGGCCAATCTTTCCGCGGCTCGCCCTTCCCCTTCTTTGCCTACCCTCCCCTCGCCCTCCTCCTCCTCCTCCTCCTCCTCCTCCTCCTCCTCCTCCTCCTCCTCCTCCCTGGTTGGTCCCACGCTTGAGGTCCCTACCCAATTTGTGGTGGCGCGTGGGTTAAACCCAGCTTGATCAGGCGAACCTGAAGTCCGCGAGATCCGCAAGGAGGAGGAGGAGGAGGAGGAGGAGGAGGAGGGCGAGAAGGCGGCAGAGGGGGTGGAGGGGAAGGAGGAGGAGGAGGAGGACGAGTTGGAGGAGGAGGAGGAGGAGGAGAAGGAGGAGGAAGTTGCCCCGCCTGTCTGGATCCTCCTCGTCCAGGGGCGCCGTCGTCGTCGCCGTAAGCCGTCGCAGTCGTCGTCGCCGCCCGTTGCAGGTTCCGAGATGATGTCCCTCGCGCGCTCCGCGGGGTTCGTTCGCCCGCTCTGCGGCGGCGCCGCGGCGGCCGCGGCGGCCGTGGCCTTCGCGCCTCCAGCTGCGCAGTGCGAGGAACTTCGGCTTGGAGGAAGGGGGGGTGGCGGGTGGAATTGGGCGGGGAGGGAAGGAGGGGGGGAGGGGGGGAGGTGGTGACGACGGCGATGATGATGGTGATGATGAGAGTGCTGAGAATGCGGCTGACTGTGATGCTGAGCTTGTTGTTGTTGTTGTTGTTGTTGTTGTTGTTGTTGTTGTTGTGGTTGTTGTTGTTGATGATGGTGATGCTGGTGAAAATGATGATGGGTGGTGGTGGTGGTGAGGGTGGTGATGACGACGACGATGATGGTGATGATGATGGGTGGTGATGGTGATGACGATGACGCTGGTGATGATGGTGGTGATAGTGACGGTGGCGATGATCACGATGCTACTGCTGATGATGACGTTGATGATGTTGCTGCTGCTGCTGATGATGAGGTTGATGGCGGCGATGTCGTTATCGTGGTGGAAGTCGATCAACGGTGAGGAAGCACGTTGCCACATAAGTTCCAGATGTCTAGAACAAGTGTTAAACCTGTTTTAAACATAGAAAAAGCTTGTGTTCCGACATTTTAAACACATTCTTAATCCAAGGACAGGGCTGTTAGGGTGGCCATTGTCGTGGCATTCACAACGTTACTGTTGCTGTTGTTGCTGTTGTTGCTGTTGCTGTTGTGGCTGTTGTTGTTGTTGCTACTGTTGTTGTTGCTGCTGTTGTCGTTGTCGTCATCGTCGTCGTCGTTGTTGTTGTTGTTGCTGTTATTGTTGTTGTGACTGTTGTTGCTGTTGCTGCTGCTGTTGTTGTTGTTGTTGTCGTTGCTGTTGTTGCCGTTGTCGTTGTCGTTATTGTTTTTGTTGTTGTTGTTGTTGTTGTTGTTGTTGTTGTTGTTGTTGTTGTTGTTGTTGTGGTTGTGGTTGTTGTTGTTGTTGTTGTTGTTGTTGTTGTTGTTGTTGTTGTTGTTGTTGTGTTGTTTTTGTTTTTGTTGTTGTTTTTGTTGTCGTTGTCGTTATGGGCGTTGTTGTTATCGTTGTTGTTGTTGCTGCTGCTGTTTGTTGTTGTTTGTTGTTGTTGTTGTTGGTGGTGGTGATGTTGTTGCTGCTGCTGCTGCCGTTGTTGATGATTGTGTGGTGACGGCTACGGTAATGATGCTGCTGATGATGATTTCCATGATGGGGATGTGGATGACGATGACGATGTTGATGTTGACACTGCTGCTGCTGATGATGGTGGTGGTGATGATGATGACGAGGAGGAGGAGGAGGAGGAGGAGGAGAAGAGGAGGAGGAGGAGAGAAGGAGGAGGAGGATGAGGAGGAGGAGGATGAGGAGGAGGAGGAGGAGGAGGAGGAGGAGGAGGAGGGGGATGAGGGTAGTGGTGATCCTTAGGAGGAGCACATGAGTAGCAGGAGGAAGAGGCGGAAGGAGGGAGAGGGGGGAGGGCGGAAGAGGTGGGTGGGGAAGGGGAACTGGGCGGGGGGAGAATGGGCCTCTTGGAGCCTTGTTGAGGCGCTCTTGGGGCCTCCTGGGCGCCTCTTGGAGCCTTGTTGAGGCGCTCTTGGGGGCCTTCGGAGCGCTCTTGGGGCCACTTTGGAGGAGATCGATTAAAGAAGGGGAGAGCTTCAACTAGGGCTCCCCTTTGGGAGCGCCTAAGATCGCCTCTTGGGCCGCTCTTGGGGCGCCCTTGGGCGCTCTTGGGGTCGTCTTGGGGCTCTCTTGGGCCTCTCTTGGGACCCTCTTGGGCCCTCTCGGAGCCATCTTGAGGCCTCGGAAGGTCATCGACAGCAAAAAGGCGAGAAGGCACAGTTCATTGATTTTCCTTTTGCTTTTGAAGGATTTTGGCCTCTTGGCGGCCTCCTAGTGAGGTTCCGTGGCTACTTGGAGCCGTCATGGAGCGGTCTTGGGGCCTCTAGGAGCATCTTGGAAACCATCTTGAGCCATCTTGGGCTATCTTGAGCCATCTGTGATGTCATCTTGGGCTCTCTGAGGCCCTCTTGGATCCATCTTGGGCCATTTTGGACGCTCCACCCCCTCGCGAAATGCCCCCTCGGGTCCAGGGGAGGGGGTTAACGGGGGAGGGGGAAGCCCCTCCCTGAAGGGGAAGAGGGAGGGGTGGAAGAGGAAG